AACAACAACAACAAAAAAAAACCTCTCTTGTTTAAGCCAGTTTGAGTTAATTTAAAATGACTGATGATGTTGTTTTGCAAAAACTAAAATGTCCCTTGCCACATAAATATATTATGTACTGCTATGGGGCAGACTTTTTGAGTTCAGCATACCTGTATTACTCTTGCGTTCTGGTTGCCATCGAGTTAATTCCAACTCATGGCAACCGCGTGTATGTCAGAGTAGAACTGTGCTCCATAGGGTTTTCAATGCCTGAATTTTTGGAAGTAGATTGCCAGGACTTTCTTCTGAAGTACTTCTGGGTGGACTCAAACTGCCATCCTTTCGGTTAGCAGCCAAGTGCAATAACTGTTTCTACCACCCATAGACTCCACTCTTGTATTACTTTTACCATTTTTCTCTATTCAAACTACTGTGGAAATTTTGTTGTACAGTGGGGTACTCAGCTTTCATGGCTAACGAGGCTTCACTTATGCATTCTCTACTTCTTCTTTTTTCTCATTAGCAATTATAGGCGTACTCCCTGGTGTCTCTGATTGTATGTAAACACAGGCAGATGCCGGCATCGGAATCCTGTATGTTCTCAGTCATAAGGTGCCATCATGTTGACCCAGAATATGCCTACATTAATGTATTTAATTACCAATGCAATAAACACAACATTTGAAAAGCATCATAGAGAACTCATTTCCCTATATGGCCTCTGGGCACCCTTATAGCTCATTAATGAAGTCACTCCTGAGGTTCATCCTTCAGCCAAAGATTAGACATGTCCATAAAACACAACAAGACTAAAGGAGCACACCAGCCCAGGGGCAAGGACAAGAAGGCTGGAGGGGAGAGGGAAGCTGGTAATGGGGAAACCAAGCTTGAGAAGTGGAGAGTGTTGACATGTCGTGGGGTTGGTAACCAATGTCACAAAACAATATGTGTATTCATTGTTTAATGAGAAAATAGTTTGCTCTGTAAACCTTCATCTAAAGAACAATAAAAAAATTTTTTTTTAAATAAAAATAAAATGTAAAAAAAGTAAAAATGAGAACTCATGTCCCTCCAAGAGATCATCAGGTGTCTGTGGACCTCAGACGGAAAACCACTGACGCGGCGGAAAGCACACTGCATTCAGAGTCAGAAGACCTGGGATCTTTGTTTCCTGCTGTGTGACCTTAGGCAAATCATTTCCCTTCTCTGGAGCCTCCATTTCCTCACCTCTAACAGAGGGATTTGCTCATTTGAGGAACTTTTCTGAGATTTCTGCTAAAGGCCAGAACTATTATACTTTCCTTTCTGCTTAAGAGAGTTCTTTTGTGGATCAAGTGAGATTACTTAGGAGAAGGCATGTTATCAGGCAAACAGTTGTTATCTTTCTGTCTTCTTGTACTTTTATCTGTCCTTCTGAGCCAGAAAAACTCCTCTGCACCTTCAAGACCTGGCTCAAAGGTCCTTATAGCACCTCCCCTCTGTGTTCTCATAGTGCTCGCTCTATAAATCTAAACAAGCCTCTTATTGCCTGTCTACCCTCCCTGGCAGGAGATCTTCCAGGTCAGGGGCAGTGCCTAGCTCAGTGCCCAGCTTGCAGTAGATAAGCAAAGTGAATATTTGCTAATGGATGGACCTGAGGGCTGAAGGTGAGGAAGTCGAGGCCTGAGAAGAAGGGACAGGGGAGTCATATGCTCCCCATTTCATGATTTTGTCTGAGTCTAGCTCTGCTGGCACGTTCCATTGCTGGCCTTCTCGACAGCCCATGTGTTGATCCACTTACAAGCACAACAACAGGAAGGCAAGTCTGTTATGCAAACCATGACTGAGTTAGGATTTCTCTTCTCCAAGAGCTTCTTCCCTGGGAAGGACTGAGGAAGTTGATGCAGCTTTCTTTCATCTTTGGAGCTACAAATCCTTGTCCCAAGACCCGATGCAGTGACAGTGGTGGCTCCTGCCTCTTTTAGGATCACTGAGAGGCCTGTGGCCCCTGGCTGGCTTTGCCTACTGAGAGGTGGTGGGCTGGAGGACTGGGTTTGCAACAGCCATCCCAGGAAAGGAGGAAGGGTGGATGATGCGGAAAGGGCTAGATTCTCTGAATCTCACTGGCCTGGCCCTTGAGCAGCAGTCACTCCACACTTCGCTGAGCCCAGACGGTGGGTCCGTGAGAACCATTTAATTGTCCACAGAGAGAGGACATCTCACCAACCCCATGACATGTCAACTGTCAACACTCTCCCCTTCTTGACCTTGGGTTCCTATTACCGGCTTTCCTCTCTCCTCCTGCCTTCTAGCCCTTACCCCTGGGCGGGTGTGCCCCTTTAGTCTCATTTTGTTCTATGGGCCTGTCTAATCTTTGGCTGAAGGGTGAACCTCAGGAGTGACTTCGTTACTGACCTAAAAGGGTGTCCGGGGGCCATACTCGTGGGGTTTCTCCAATCTCTGTCAGTCCAGTTAAAAAAAAACAAAAAACAAACTCATTGCCATTGGGTCGATTCAGACTCATAGTGACCGTTTAGGATAGAGTAGAACTACCCTATAGGGTTTCCAAGATGTGCCTGGTGGATTCCAACTGCCAAGGAAAGGGCTAATCAGAAGCAGCCCCCAGTCTCTCCTCCCTTCTTCCCTCCCTCCCTCTGTGAGTTCAGCTTGGTGGGTATGAGGAGAATTCTAGGGCTTTGATCCCAGGCTATGCCACCCAGTCAAGTATAAATGAGACGAGTATGGGACATTCAGAAACAACTCAGGGAATTTTTTTGTTGGGGATGAAGAAGAAAAATCCTCTTTGAGCCTACATTGGCCAGGGCTCTCCCATGAACTATCAGCACGCTCAGCTATCCCCCTTCCAGGTCAAAAACGTTCTCTCCTTGTGCCAGAAGCCTTCATGCTGAAGATGCTCAAAAAAAGGCATGAGGGAGTAGGAGAAAGCTCAGAGTTTGGGAGGTAAACAGCTTGGGGTTCCAACGGAATAATTTAAGACTCCACCTTTTCATAGGGTGACTCTATCATGCCGTAGCTTTGTGATCTCAGAAAAGTCAAATAACCCCTATGAGCCTCAGTTTCTTCCTACCTGATAGTATGTTATGTAATAGTGTATGGAAAGTGACTTCCAGAATGTCTGGGGAACATTGAGGGCTCAACAGGTGGCTATTCTTTTCTCTCCCAGGCTGACAGGATGCAGAGAACAAAGTTTAGTCTCAACCTTGTAGTCCTTCTTTGCCCAAAGTTGTTGCTATTTAATATATAGGTTTTTTTTTTTTAAATTGTACTTTAGATGAAGCTTTACAGAACAAACTAGCTTCTCATTAAACAACTAGTACACATATTGTTTTGTGACATTGGTTACCAACCCCATGACATGTCAACTGTCAACACTGTCCCCTTCTCAAACTTGAATTCCCTATTACCAGCTTTCCTGTCTCCTCCTGCCTTCTAGCCCGTACCCCTGGGCTGATGTGCCCCTTTAGTCTCATTTTGTTCTATTGGCCTGTCTAATCTTTGGCTGAACGGTGAACCTCAGGAGTGACTTCATTACTGAGCTAAAAGGGTGTCCAGGGGCCATACTTGTGGGGGTTCTCCAGTCTTGGTCAGGCCAGTTTAAAAAAAAAAAACAAAAAACTCATTGCCATTGAGTCAATTCTGACTCATAGTGACCCTTTCGGACAGAGTAGAACTGCCCTATAGGGTTTCCAAGTTGCATCTGGTGGATTCCAACTGCCAACCTTTTGGTTAGCAGCCAAACTCTTAACCACCAGGCCACCAGGGTCACTATGAGTCGAGATCGACTCAACTGCAATGGGTTTTTGGTCAGGCCAGTAAGTCTGGTCGCTTTTTGTGAGTTAGAATTTCGTTCTATATTTTTCTCCAGCTCTGTCCAGGACCCTCTATTATGATTCCTGTCAGAGCAGTCGATGGTGGTAGCCGGGCACCATCTAGTTGTGCTCAGCTCAGTCTGGTAGAGGCTATGGTAGTTGTAGTGGTCCATTAGTCCTTTGGACTAATCGTCCCCTTGTGTCTTTGGTTTTCTTCATTTTCCCTTGGTCCAGATGGGGTGAGACCAGTGGAATATCTTAGATGGCCACTCATAAGCTTTTAAGACCCCAGATGCTACTCAACAAAGTAGAATGTAGAACATTTTCTTTATAAACTGTGTGATGCCAATTGAGCTAGATGTTCCCCAAGACAATGGTCCCCACAGCCCTCAGCCCAGTAATTTAGTCCCTCGGGGAGTTTGGATGTGTCTATGGAGCTTCCACGACCTTGCCTTGGACAAGTTGTGCTGGCTTCCCCAGTTAATATATAGTTTTTCTTCTCCCATCCCCTTTCCTATGTAGTTCCTGTTTGTTTTTTTGACTGTGTAAATCACATTAGTCTTATTGTTTCTATGAATTTTATTGTAAACTTTTTAAAATCCATATTTCATTAGGTTTTAGGTACAAAACAATCAAGTATTTGTGTATATATACATATTTGAAATATATGTATATATGTAAACGTCTTGTTAGTTGCCGACGAGTTGATTCCAACTCATGGCAACCCCATGTGTGTAGAGAGTAGAACTGTTCCATAGGGTTTTCAAGGATGTGACTTTTCAAAAGCAGATTGCCAGGCATATCTTCCAAGGCACCTCTGAGTGGGTTCAAACTGAAAGCATTTCGTCTAGTAGTCAAGTGCCTAACCATTTGTGCCACCAAGGGACCCTATATACATATATGAAACCCAAAAAACCAAACCCATTGCCATCGAGTCAATTCTGACTCATAGTGACCCCTATAGGGAAGAGTAGAACTGCCCCACAGAGTTTCCAAGGAACTCCTGGTGGATTCAAAATGCCAACCTCTTGGTTAGTAGCTGTAGCTCTTAACAACTACCCACCAGTGTTTCCATATACATATATATGTATATACCTATATAGGCAAAATATATACTTTACAGGTATATGCAAACAGCATGCATGATGCCCACACATACATACAGGAGGGTTGATTTATGGCTTTGTCACAGGATATATTGAAACCACAGTGGATTCTGGAGCCCCAGATGGACTTCTGAAACAAGTTGCATGTAAATGGTCTCCTTAAACAGAGAATTTTATTTGAATGAACTTTTTTGGACATCTAGCAGCTGACAGGTGTTTTCAGAGGCCTTTAGCCCTATTTCTTGGAATCTGCTGTTATTCTCCTTTGCCTGTAGCCGTAGGATTCCCCTACCCCCGCCCATTCCTCAGAAAGGAGATGACTGGAGAGCCCTCTCCCCTTCTTTCTCTGACACAATGGCTCCTCAAAGCCTGAAGTGTACTGTCTCTATCCATCCCCAGAGCATCACTGGCTTCCTTTTCCCATTGTGGAGACAGATTTGAGGGCAGGCTAGGTGGAAGCGGGGCAGGGAGAATATGTCTTCTTCCTTTCTTTCTGGCTCAGATACTTATTCCCAAGTTCCTTCTCTCTGAAAGTGTCCCCACCCCAACCGAAACCTGGGATGAGGGTTTTAAGTGTACTCCCCAGATGGTCGCTAAGTTGAGGCTCACACAACCTTCAACATGAGCCAGCCAGAGCCTGAGTGTGGCTGGGGAAAAACTAGAGCATACCAGGCCCGGTCGTGCAGTCACAAGAGTTTGGTTCTATTCTAGCTCTAGCTTTTAGAAACTGTGTACACCAGGAAAAGTTTCTTGTCCTCTTTGGGCCACTGTTTCCTCAACTTTAAAATTAGCAGGAAGACAGCGATGACTCCAAATACACATCGAGATTTCAAGACTCTCTAGGGAAATGTGGGAATCGAAGGTGGCCACTAGGTGGCTGTAGTCTGAAGGACACTGGGCGAGAGCTCTTGACAAAGGGTTCTGCAGGACTTATGGTCTCAGAGATGCCCATGTTCAGCCTGAAGGGAAACTGACAAGATTGCTCACTCAGCTTGTCCCCACACATTCATTAAGCATAAGCTTTTGGCCATCCCCTCCTGTACTTCCCCTGCCTGCACCCCCTGTTCCAGCCATAGGAACTAGGGGCATTGTGCTCACTTGGTCCTCTGTGCCTTTGCACCTGAGTTTCCCAGGGCCTGGAAAGCCCTTCCTCCTCCCTCTCTGGGCAAACCCCTAGACACGCTTTAGGATTCAGCTCAAACAGGTCTTTTGTGAAGCTTTCCCTGACAAATTCTCTCTCTCCTATTTTTCAGACAAAGTTGACCCTTCTTGTCTCAGTGGCTTCACCATCCTTAATCCACATCTTGATTGTAGTGCTTACTACCCCAGAGAGTGATCATTTTCCCATCTCTCTCCCTTTCTGGACAGAGGGCAGAGACCAGGTTTTCTTCATCTCTGTTTTCTCAGTGCCCAACATGTGACTGGCACAATGTCTGCTACTCGATATTTGTTTTTTAGATAAATTAATTCATGAATGGAATTTGGGAAGACCAAAACAACCCCCTTTATCCCATGATTTTGATCTTCCTTTTTGTAATTCTTAGTATTTAAGTATGGTCAGCATACATTACTTTGATGGAGATTTAACCTTCTCTTAGCAGTGGAACTCTTGGTACAAACAAAAATCTTACAACAGCCAGATATATAAAACAAATGATAGTTGACCTGCTTGAATGGAAGCTGGGATGGGGAGGCCTGAAGCCTATCCTTTTTCTACCTCCACCCCTTCCTTACAGCCCTACGGCTCTATAAACATAGTTTGAAAAACACTACCCTGGCTGTTGTATTAATTCCTCTTCTATTTAACTCTAGTTCCCAGAAAAGGACAATAACTGGGAAAGACTGGGTTTTAGGGGGACAGGAACCATGCTCTTATCATCACACAGCTTGGCAAACAGTACTCAATTTATGTTGGATTAATTGACTTGAGTTGGGTTAAATTAAAATGACAGGTAGAATTTGGAGCCAGATAATCACTGTATATGTTAGAGAAGTGGCCTTATGTGGCTGTTTCCCTCAAGCTCCACTAAGGAGATGGCTTACCTGATGATCAACTCTGTGCTGAAGGATTCTTGTGATGAGTCATTGTGATCTCTGAATCAGAGAGAGCTGTGGAGAGGCCAGGTGGTCAACAGCCACTACTGCAGAAATTAATGATTTAATCCATGATGTAGCTTTGCTTTATCTGAACTCCCACCTGGGTCAGTGTATGACAATACAAACAGACAAGAAAGATGATGGAAAGATCAATAAATCACTATCACATTGAAGAATCTTTGAGTAAGACAGTACCATTGGGTTGAGGGAGGCTGATTGAAGGAAGAGCCCTTGTTCTAGCCTCCCCAACAAAGGGTCTGCTCTAAAGGTGACAGCACTCGCTCCTTTGTGCGGGAGCACTCTCTTAAACATACAGCCTCTAGTTTCAACAGCTCCTCCTTGTATGACTCTTTCCCTTCTCCATATTAATGTGTTCAGGTCTTTCAATGTCTTAAACAAAATTTATTCCTCATTCTGACATCTCTTTTAATACACCTTTTTCTTCACAGGCAAGCCTCTTGAGAGCAGTTGATCTTCTGTCTCTATTTGCTCACCTCCCATGGTAACTGGCTTACATCCCCACCACTCCACAGACACTTCTCTTTACTGGATCAGACACTGCTTCTTTATTGTTAAGTCCAATACTTAGACACTGTTGACTTCCTACCTGAAACTCTTGTCTTTCTTGATTTTGATGACATCTCTCTCTTCTGGCTTTCTTCTTACTGCTTTGACTACTTCTTTTCCACTTCCTTCTTGATTTACTTTTCTGCCAGTCCTCCATTTTCTTCTCATCTGCTGTCACTCAGCCATTTCATCTACCCTTACATCTTCATCTACTAACATTATCCTTTATGTTATCATTAGCGTTAGCATTAGGTTCTCTCCCTTATCTCCTATATCAAATCCATAACAAAATTATGTCAATTTTACCTCCTAAAGAAAAAAAACAGATTCCAACTCGTGGTGAACCTGTGTGTGTCAGCATAGAACTGTGTTCCACAGGGTTTCCAGTGGGTGATTTGTTTGGATCTTTCTTGCAAGAAGTTTCTGGGTGATCTCAAACTGCCAACCTTTCAGTCTGCAGTCAAGTATGTTAACCATTTGCACCATCAATGGACTTCGATGAATTACCTCTTTAAAATCCACCCAAATACACTGCCTCTTCTTCATCTCCTTGCTAGTTCCTAATTAATCTTCCAGATTTCTGTCACACTTTCACCACTGTTTCTTTGTTTTCAGTCTTGATCCTATAAAATTCATCCTGCACAATTCCACAGATCTAAAATATAAATTACACAATGTCATTCTCATGATTCAAAGCTTTCTGTGTGTCCACTGTCTGCAGAATAACATCCAAGCTCATTAGCAAGGCCCTTATTCAAGGCTCTCCTTATACAAGGCCCACCATGACCTGGCTCTCTCTACCTCTCCAGCCTCATCTCCTTTCATTTCCTACTTCAAATTCAATCTTAGAGAAATACTAAATTGTTTCCGGGAGTCCTTGGGTAGTGCAAGTGGTTAAACACTGGACTACTAGCCAAAAGGTTGGTGGTTTGAGCCCACCTAGAGGCACCTCAGAAGACAAGCCTGAAGATCTGCTTCTGAAAGATCGCAGCCTTGAAAATCCTATGGAGTAGCTCTACTCTGCACACATGGGGTCACCATGAGTCAGAATCCACTCGCCGGCAACTAACGGCAACAGATTTTTTCTAGGTTACACTATGATTTCTCTCAGACACTGTTTCTTCGGAATGAGAACACTTTCCCCAACCTCCTTCTTACCTGGTTAAACTTCTATGCATCTTTCACAACTCAACGAAACAATTGCCTCAAAATTATATGCACTCAATGAATATTGGATTAATTGAGTTGAATTAAAATGTCAGGTATAGTTTTAAGCCAAGTATCGATGTGGAAGTTGGAGAGAAAGAGCTGACCACTCCCAGTCTGGCTAGGTGCCTCTCACAAGTTTTCCATAGCAGCCTATGCATTTGTCTATCTTAGCAAAAATGAAACTAACCATATTGAAATTGTGTATGTAACTGTCATCCCCGTAAACTATACTCTGTGTGAGTTTATGGGCTCCCTTGGGACAACGATTTTTTTTGAATGTCTCTCCAGTATGCAGCAAGTGCTCAAAAAATGCCTGGAGTAAATTAATACCAGCAACAACACTCCTATTCTTTTCTTCCTCGTGGGTAGAATTTGTGATTGTATGATTTCATTTTTAAATCACCATTATTTGGAATACTGTCTCATATGCGCATCATTCCTTTCCTTTGTGATTATAACTTGTGAGACGACAGGCATTTTCTCCCAAAGTTCCTCCCATTTTGATAGTACCAACATGTTTCTCTTTAATAATGAGTGAAGTCCAGTATATAGTCACCTCTGTTAATACATCCACATTCTATACAATAAAAATGCCAGTGAAGTAGATTAGAAACTTATCAGATGCCTTCTTAGTTATCTAGTGACGCTATAACAGAAATACCACAAGTAGATGGCTTTAACAAACAGCAATTTATTCTCTCACAGTCTAGAGGCTAGAAGTATGAATTCAGAGTGCCAACTCCAGGGGAAAGCTTTCTCTGTCAGCTCTGGGGGAAGGTCCTTGTCATCAGTCTTACCCAGTCTAGGAGCTTTTCAGGTGCAGGGACCCTGGGTCCAAAGGACAAGCTCTGCTCCCGGCACTGCTTTCTTGGTGGTATGAGGTCCCCATGTCTCTCTGCTCACTTCTCTCTTTTATATCTAAAAAGAGATTGGCTTAAGACACAACCTAATCTTACAGATTGAGTCCTACCTCACTAATATAACTGCCGCTAAACCCACCTCATCAACATCATAGAGGTAGGATTTACAACACATAAGAAAATCATATCAGATGACAAAATGGTGGACAATCACTCAATATTGGGAATCATGGCCTGGCCAACTTATGAGATATCCAGCAAAGTTTGGCAGAAGTACCTCCTAGTCATTTCTGATAGCTTAACTTCTGAGATAGCTTTAAAATATGTACTAGGAAAATATCATTTATGGCTGTCTTCTGGCAAGGCACTACGTAGTATAACCGCACAATATCTCTCCTGTTTCTCCCTCCTTTTATTATCAAATAAATACTCCATCCCTTTGAATATAGCCTCCTAACACCTTGTTATTTTTCAGAAGGAAGTGTCCTGGGGAGTGATGTTTTTATACCCATATAACATGCACTCACTTTTTTGCCGATTTTTCTACACATAGTGGAGAATTAGGAGTCCCTGTGTGGTGCAAACAGTTAATGGCCTTGGCTGCTAACCAAAAGGTTGGAAGTTCAAGTCTACCCAGAGGCGCCTTGAAAGAAATGCCTAGTGATCTACTTCCAAAAAATCAGCCATTAGAAATCCTATGGAGCACAGGTGGGGTCTCAATGAGTCAGAATTGACTCTATGGCAACTGATTTTTGTTTGTTTGTTTTTTGATGGGAATTGGTCACTAACAGAGAGGCTTTAGAGGTCCATTCCCTCATTCCACTAATGAGAAAACTTAGACCCACAGAGACAAGATGACTTGCCTAATGTCAGTATGAACAGCTAATATTTATGATGTGCTTACTATGGTAAGTGCTTTACATACATTATTCTATTTAATCCTCACAACAACCCTTGGGGTAAGTATTATTAGTCTTCTTGGTTCATAGATGAAGAAGTTTAGCTTTGTTGAGATGAATTCATATGCCCAACATCACTAACAGGGATTCCAAATGAGGCAATTTGGCTCAAGAGCCCTTTCATTTAACCACTAAGATCTGGTGCCTAAACTACAAGGCTATTTATTTTCCCATTGGTTTAAAAATATTTTTTTTATCTTCATTTCTGTTTGGTCTTCATTTGGCAATCACCGGAGAATCCTGGCCAAACAGTTAACGGGCTTAATAGTTCATAAACAAACTCTACAGTGTAGTAAGGAGCATCTATTTTAAGCGTTAAGGATATTTATGTAGCTCAAATTACCTGTACTGTGATCATGGGGTCTCATATATTGATGTTCTCAGAGTAAGACCCACCTGTTTTGGAAATGAGCCATCCAGAATGAGCACTAGTTGCAATTAAATGGAAAATTCCCCCATGGCTGCGAAGTTACATTAAAAAGGGGCTGATTAAGGAAAGTAAAGAGAGTGCTATTAGTCCTTTTAGTGCAAACTCTTTGTTTGCCCAAGCCAAACAGTTGCCATTTCTGAGCAGAAGTCAAACACCTGTTGCTTCAGAAAGGAAAATTTCAGACTTGGCTTTTCAGAGCTATTTCTGATAAGGGCTGACCATGAAAAGCTTCCAAAAATTAACATCTGGGCCCAAAAGTTTATCTTCCCCTCTACTTATTTTCTTTATCTGTACGTGTGCCTTCACTGGAAACTTGGATTCTGACTCGTGTCCACGACTCACTCCCTTCTTCACTTCTGGAAGGAGTGTTGGTTTGGGTGTGGCTGCTCTAGACAAACAGTGAGGCTCCTCTTGGCCTGGTGAGCCCTGGTCTCTGTAGGGGAAGCCAAAGGGAGAGGCTCCTCTGGTCCCTCCCCTCATGTGGTCTGGCCAAGCACCCTAATAGTTGGAATCTGTGGACCCTCCTCCATCCCCAGTGGGCAGTGATCGACTACTTAAGAGAAAAACAGTTTGAACAATCCAGTCAATGTCCAGTCTTAGCCCAGATTCTACTACCAGGCTGAATCTATCCTCTTAAAGGGCTGGGGTGGGGGCATTGGGTATATATTCCTGCCTTGAGAGCAAACCATCTGACATACCATCTGACCTTATCACTCTTTTGCCTATAGATGGCACCCCATCACCTTAGCTTCCTCTACCCTAGTGGATTTTGATATGAGGTCAGGTGTGGGGTCAGGATTCTGTATTTTTAACAATCTTCCTAGATAAAGTGACCAACTGTACTGGTCTGCCTGGGACTGAGGGGTTTCCCAGGACACAGGGCTTTTAATGCTAAATTTTGGAAAATCCTAGGCAAACCTGGAGGGATTGGTCACCCTATTTCTGAGTGACTGTGATTTACAGCAGTGGTCAGAAAACTGCAGTTGGCTGGCCCATATGGTCCACTGCCTGTTTTAGTAAATAAAGTTTTATTGGAACATATCCGTGCCCACTCATTTACAAATTATCTATGGCTGCTTTCATGCTACAATGGTAGAGTTGAGCAGTTGTGACAGAAACCGTATGACTCACAAAGCCTAAAATATGTATCATTTGTTCCTTTACAGAAGTTTGATGACCCCTGACTTACAGGATAAATTTTAATAATCCCATTCCTTCATCATGAGGCCACAGCCTTCCTTTCCATCCTCATCTCTACTCTTCCTTTCCTCACTCTGATTGCTCAAGTCATGCTGATCTACTTATAGCACCAAAAAGTCCAAGCTATTTCTTCTTTGACCTCCTTCTCCCTCTACCTGGAATGTCCTTCTCTCCACTGTGCTTGGCTAATTCCTTTTGATCTAACAGGACACAATTCAGGCAGACTCTTCTCCAGGAAGTCTTCCCTGACTCTGCCCCACCACACTATATCAGCTTTACATGCAGGGGGAACCTCCTATGCAAACCTCCAACACTGCACTCACCACACTACACCAGCACTGCTATTCTGCTTGTTAGTGTCTTCCAACAGTCCAGGAGGTCCTTCAGAGAGAAAACTGTGGCATATTCACCTTTACACCTCCATCACTTAGTTCAGCTCCCAGAATGGAAGAAACCCAGTAAATGTTTGTTGAATTATGAATCTATAAAATGAAGATACGAATTTATCCAAGGGGTAGAGGGAGTAAATAGTCTAATATTCCCTCCCATGTGGAAATACGTGGCAGGTATCAACTAGGAAAGATAGCTTTTCTAAGCATACTTTCCTGGGTCACAATAAGTGTTGGGAAAATGTGGGGGGAAAAGCTTTTTTTTTTTTTTTCTGAGAATCATTTTTGTTTTCTTGGAAAATTCAAGGGGAAATACGGGAATCCCCCTTTTCTCTCCTGTATTTTTTCCCAGGCCTGCTTGTCTCCAAATATACCAGATGTGATAATTTTTGGAGCAAACTGAGTTATACATAATATGTTTTATGACCCTAAACTAATAAAATGGCTCTAGATCAGCAATGGTATCCAAAAAGTACTTGAAAGCATGCTAATTTTTCCAAAAATTTGCTTTTTTTTCTTTTAAGAGGGTTTTTTTTTTTTTTTTTGGTCTGTTGTTTTTGAATTTCCAGAAACTTTGCTTCTCTAGTTAAATGATTCAACTCCCAGAATTAGCACGGCTCAGCTCAGACTGTCCGATCTCCATGATCTTCCATAGTCTTCCCAGGGGGAAACCAAGGAGATCCCCTAAAGTGCTGTGGAGAGGCCAGTGAGCAGAGAGAAGCCTGGAAAGCTACACAGAAGGAGGCCTAGTCAGAGGACCAGCCCTGAAGCAGGGCCCACTGGGAGTTTCCATACTAATATAGCTGGTAGCACCAAAGGGAGCGATTCCAGCATCAGGTGGGTTTATAGGCCTTGACCTCACTCTCCTCTGAGAGGTGGGTTTGGCAAGAGTTGGGAATCAGTTAATATTCAGGCTGCTGACTTTGCCCTTTGGGACCTTTTGTTCCTACAGCTCCCATGTGACAGATTTGCTCTCCATATGGCACAAACTTGTGAAGATGGAAGAAGCCTGGAATATGGAAAGATCTTTTTGCTAGAGGCCTGATCACTCCCCAGATGTCAGATCTGGGGCAAGGATTTTACCTTCTCAAGCCTCTGATCCTTCTTCTGTAAAATGAGCATAAAAGTTCATAAAGTTTAAATGAGATCATATATGGAAATGTTTTAAAAGTTCCTGGCACATGTCAAATGCCCTAGGGAAGTCTCTGGATGAAGGATGCATGGTTCTGAGCAGATACACAGAGCCACTAGCTCCAGGAGGCTATGTGTCTAAGTGGGAAGCTCTGCCTTGCTCTATAGGCATCGATCTGCCAAAGAGGTCGAGGATGTTGCACTCAGTTTGGCACCCCCTTCCTCCCAGAGACTCCTTCAAACCCAGGCTCTTCTGGCCCAAATGGAAGCCAGGAATGAAGCAGACCCTGAGGACCACTGAACAGGTCTGGACCTAGCCTACCTGAGGGGTTGTTTCTCCTGGCCCCGTCCTAAGTCTCCAGTTCTTCTCCTACATTACATGTTCCCTGGAGGATCTCATTTACTTCTATTATCTGAGGCCTCCCAAATCAGATATCCAACCCAGGCCTCTCTTCTAAGCTGGAGACAGACAGACCCGTCCTTGCTAGAAATCTCCACTGTAGATACATGGGCACCCCAAACTCATGTCCACAACTCGACTCATGTCCTCCTCCCCCACATTGGCTTCTCTGCATATGCTCCCAATATGAGTGAATGATGTCATCCTCCCCCCTCTTGGTGAAGCCAGAAAATACAGAGTCATCCTAAGCCTCCTCCCTTTATGGTCCCCCTTCATATCTTGTCCATCACAGTTATTCATTTACTCATTAATTCAACAAATATTTATTGAGGACTTGCTATGGGTAAAGCACTACACTATGTGCTGGGTAAAAAGCAAGTAACAAAATTGACATGGTCTCTATCATCTGTGGGGCTTGTTGCCATTAGGTGCCATCAAGTTGGGTCTGACTC